CTGAAGAAAAATTTATTTTTTCTCTGTTCTGACCTCTGAAATTTCTCTTAGGAATTCTCATAAAAATAGGACTTGGTGACATGGTGGATTATATCCTTAAAATACTCCTACAGTTATTCCTACGTAATAATCTTTGTATGAGAGTCTAGATTAACTTCAACCTGTGAAGATATAATTAAGCCCTAAGAACAGGATTCATCATCAAGTTACCTCTGTGGCCCATTCAAGGCCAACACATGTCTGGCTCATTGTAGTTTTTTTGTACAAGCTGATTCTCAGATAAATGAATAAATGAATGAAACGAATGAATGAATGAATGCATGAACAAGAATTCATGGTGGATCTAGTTTTTCTGCTGGAGTGAGCAATGTTTTCCTCTTCTCCCATTGGTAGGAAATATTTTCTTTGAGTTTTAATCAAAAGCCTCCATTGCTTTTTATATTTTGATATTTTATATTAAAATGCTAGGGAAATAATCTGAATTATCAGTAACTTGAAATGGTCGATGTATATATTTTTAGGAAACTACCGCTCAATCTAATTTTTCTTTAAAACTGACCCTAAATGAACTGAGACATCATAGCCTCTTTGCAAAATATTTTAGAAGAAAAATAAGAAGAGGATAAAGACAGTACCATCCTGAACGAAGTACTAAGTGAAAAAGGTCTGAATTCAAGTCCCAGTATTATTGTTTACCACTTGTATACTTTTGAATAAGAAAATCAATCTGAGTTCCAGTCTTCTCATCTCTATAAAGAAAACGTCAATACTGCCTTCCAGTTTTGTTGTGAGGCTAAAATAAAATAATGCAAACCAAAATGGTTTATAAATTGTTACGTTTTATACAAAGGTAAACGGTGGCTGTTTTTATGAGGAAAAAATATTAAGTCATTGGAATTCTCATAATCAAACTAACTACTAGATTCCAAAGTATACATTGCCTTTGGAATACAGACAAATTTTGCTTATGCATAATTATGGAGGCTTTCCATAATCGTCTCTGGGGTCCAGTGGAAAGATAAAATATAGAAACGAACCAGGTCATCTTTTTCTCTACCTTTTTAAGGTAGAGTTTTTTAGCAATAAATAATCACTTGAAAAAACAATGGGAATTCTTGTTTCAGATACAAGTAAAGTATTTCTAGTAGCAAAGACTAGAGATGAAATGTCTAATAGAGTAAATTATCTAGGGCAATAGGATGCAGAAGTTTTATTGCTAATGGTCAGAAAAACTGTGATCATACAAATAGAGAAAAACTTCAAATAAACAGAAATTTCCATCAGCCAGAAATTATTCTGCTTCATGCTGTATCTATGCAAAGATATAATAATAACAGATAGAATGACAGACAATAGTCTGGGTCTCATGTGCTCCTCATTCTAGGTTCCTGTATCTGCTATAGACCTGAAACAACTGCATGTCCTTCACGAATTTTTTCCTGGTGCCAAAAATTCTGTTTTCTCTCATTTCTGAAACACAGAAGCATTTATTTCCCCCTCTCCAATAATTTCTATGAAATTCTATTTTTTTAAGTATCATTGACTCAACCAACTTTTATTACACACCTTCTGTTATGTTCTAGGTACCATGCTTAAATATACAAAAGACGTAGAGCCCAGGAGAAGGGAAAGGCATCCGCACATTCATTCAATCAATATTAGAGGTACACTGATAAATGCATAGTTTCTGGTGGAAGACTAAGATCAATTCTACCTGGAGTAGTAAGAGATCATAAGATGTGATGCACCATGAGGTGCCTTGAAAGTTGAGCATTAGCCAAGAGGATTGGTATAGGGGTAGAGCATTTCTGGAAGAAAACATCAACATTAGCACCGGCATTGAATGAGAAACATTTATGTGCAATCAGAAATTGCAAGCAATTGGATAGGACTGAAGAAAGAGAGGAGGCTGGAAATAGGGCTTGGGGCATATGATGGTGTACTTTGAATGGCATGCTCAAGCATTAGGTCGAATATTCATGTAAACAGTGAGACACCCAATGGAATTAAACAGAAGATTTGATTTGTGTAATGAACAGGTCAACCTATGACAGATAGAGGAAAGAAAGAGCAAAACTGTGTATGTATGTGTGTGTGTGAGAGAGAGAGAGACACAGAGACACAGAGAGACAAAGATACCAGTTACAACAGAAGCTATTAGAATAGGGAGGCAAGAGATGATCATACCCGTATTTAAGAATTGTTAAACAGAATCTCCAGAGCTAAATGATTGCCTAGATTGATTATAGAGGTGTGTAAGAGAGAGGAAAAACACCAAGAGAACTCCTGAATCTCTGGTGAAGGGCCTGATTGGATCTTGATGATAGTCATCATAGACAAAAAAAAAAAAAAATGCAGGAAAAAGAGCAGACATTCCATCTGACTGAGCAGATTTGAGGTGCTATGAAGCACCTAAATGGAGCTATTTCCTATGCAGCTGGGTATACAAGTCTGAAGGAATCTGGGCTGAGAAAACAGATTTGGGAGACATCCATATTTGGCTGAATTCCAAGCTATAGTAGAAGGGTCTGGCTGGCAACTGACAGGGAAAATAAATGCCAAGACAGAGCCCTATATAATGTATCAAAACAAAAAAGAAGACCCAGCAAAGGAGTCTACAAACAACGTCAGAGAGAGGAGAAGAATCCATCAAAAGAGATGTTTAAGCCATAGAAAGGAATGAATCAAGAAGAGTAGCCAATGGTATCAAGCCCATTTGAGAGAAGGGATAAACACTGAATCTGGCGATTACAAAGCCACCTGAAGGCATTTTTATAAAGATGTTTCAGTGGAGGCAAAGCCCAACTGCAGATGAGTACAAATGTAATGGGTGTTCAGGAAATGAAGACAATGGTTTGGTGAAGCATCTTGTATATAAAGGCAAGGAGTAGGATAGCCTGGTGTCTCAGAGAGAACAAAATGTCAAGTAAGGGATCTTTCAAGAGGGATTTGTGATTGTTCATAGTCTGCAAATAAGGAGCCAGCTAACAGAGAGTGTTTAAATAAAGGAGAAAAATGTAAGAACTTGTATCAAAAAATATTCCAAGGCAATCAAATTTAAAAGTAGAACTTGTAGCCTTGAATAGGGTCACTACCTTATTTCCACAATTAGACTTCAAGATTTGGGAATCAGTCAACTCTTGACCTTCATGTACCAGGAACATTTCTTTTTTTTTTTCTCTTTTTTTTTTAAAGATTTTATTTATTTATTTGACAGAGAGAGAGAGAGAATGAGCACAAGCAGGGGGAGTGGCAGGCAGAGGCAGAGAAGCAGGCTCCCCACAGAGAAGGGGGAACCCGATGCAGGGCTCTATCCCAGGACTCCGGGACCATGACCTGAGCCGAAGGCTGTCGCCCAACCAACTGAGCCACCCAGGCACCCAACCAGGAACATTTCTTAGCCCATTTTGTGTATTCAGAAAATATTCAAAGCAAATTTGACATTTGATGAGAATAATACTCAAAAATAAGTATAAATGAGACTGAAGTATTTAAATCAATAAAGAGAATTTTTTTTATGTTTCCTGTTACTTTATCAAATGGGATAGGGAAACCTATCTACAATTTTTAGAAAGCCTCCATTCTCAAATCAATTTCTCCAGTGATAGCTCCATTGTAATTACTAGAGCCACAGCAGCTTTGTGATTGTAAAGTTTGTCTGCAGATGAAATTGCACCATTGGCCAAATATGTGGACCTCCTTGGAGAAAAATTCCACATGCCTGAAGGTATCTGTTTGGGTAGAAGGCCATACACCAGCACATACCCAGCTACACTTTCATTGTCATTTACATTTGGAAATAGGGTTGTCCTTTCATTCATTTTCAAATGTTTTTTGTTGTTGTTTTGTTTTGTTTATTTAATTTAGAGAGAGAACGAGAGAGAGAGCACAAGCAGGGGGAGCAGCAGAGGGAAAGAGAGAAGAAGGCTCCCCGCTGAGCTGCGAACCTGATGCCAGGCTCCATCCCAGGACCCTGAGATCATGAACCTAGCTGAAGACAGACACTTCAGCAAATGAGCCGCCCAGGCACCCCTCAATTTGGAATGTTGCAGAGGAATAATATTTGCTCCTATGTTGGCATTGTGAAATGTGTGATGCTTGAATGGAAGAAAAGAATAAAAGCTGACTTTTCACTAGGGGAACTTATGTCAGTGTTTTCTAGTCTTTCTTCCCATGCTTCAATAAATTACTGGGTTAGCTCCTTAGGTGCACCCAATGGCTTATTTCCTCTCCCTGGAAGCAACATTACCTAGGGAAGGAATCTGGATGGAAATGTGACAGGATGGGATGAAGTGGGTGTTATGCAAATTTGGAAATCCCAGAAGCAAGTTACCAGAGGAAACAAAGCAGGTGACTGAGATGCCATGGGAAGGCATTTGGGCTTTGAGAGGAGTCAGCATTTTGCAGAAATCTCAAGTGCAAATAAATTTCTGTTCCTTTACCAGGATTAACTACAGAGTAGGAACCCAATGGGAGTCACAAGACTGTTATTTAGCATTTGCTTGGCATTGACCACCATGTGGCCTGGGTCAAAGACTCTTTTATGTCTATACAGTTAACTGATGTAGAACAAAAACATACAAAGAGATTATATATCCATGTCTTTATTAGCAGCCTAAATTTATAGCACTTTACTTAAATTACAAACTATGTAAAGTTCCAAAATACTCATAGCAACAATTTATTTCCCCTGGGGGTGCCTGGGTGGCTCAGTTGGTTGAACCTCTGACTCTTGATTTCAGCTCAGGTCATAACCTCAGGGTCATGGGACAGAGCCCTAACTGGGCTCCACGCTCAGCGTAAAGTCTGCTTGTCCCTCTCCCTCTGGTCCTCCTCCTGCTTTTGCTCTCTCTCCCTCTAAAATAAATAAATAAATAAATAAATAAATAAATAAATAAATAATCTTAAAAAAATACACATACACATACAGATTCCCTCTGGACTTATATACTCCCATGGACTAAACTGTGTCCCCCCCAAAATTCACATTTTTTGTGTGAAAGCCCTAACTCTCAACATGACTGTATTTGGAGCCCTAACTCCCAACATGACTGTATTTGGAGATAGGGCCTTTAATTAGCAATAATCATGCCTCGGATAAACCTCATTGGTTACGATACTGCCACTGCACAAAGCTGAGATAGGGCCTTTAAGGGAGTAATTACAGTTAGATGAGCTCATAAGGGTAGGGCCCTAATCCAATAGGATTAGCAACCTTAAAAGAAAAGGAAGACACCAAACCCCTCCCCTCATTTACTTGCTTGCGTACATGCAGGCTTTCTCTTTCTACACAAGCACAGAGCAAAGGCCGAGGACACAGAGAAGGTGGCTGTCTACAAACCAGGAAGAGGGGACTCACCAGAAACTAAACGTTCCAGCACCTTGATCTTGGACTTCTTGCCTCCAGAGCTGTGAGAAAATAATTTTTTGTTGTTTAAGCCATCCAGCCTGTGGTAACCTGTGATGGCAGCCCAAGCAGACTAAGACAAATACCATCCCAAGATGCCATCTAATCAAGTTAGACATTGGTTCATGATTTATAAGTCAGTCACCTTAGCATATGTTAAAAGGCCATTCACGAACTAGACCCACTCTTCCTAGTTTCCTAGCTTCATCTCCCACAGTTGCTTATCTATTCTATAACCTTTGACCCAATAATACCAAATTGCTTACTTACATAATAAAGTGTTCCATGTTTCTGTGCCTTTCCACAAGCTTTTCCTTAAATTTGGACTTCATACCCAGAAAAACATATAATATGGCATACCTTGTTCTAGGTCCTAAGTCTCCCTTTTTACTAAATGTGTGACTGGGACAGTTACTAATTAACTCCGTTTTATCTCTGCGAAGAAAAATAATAATAGTCTGTACTTCATAGGGCTTGTGTTAGTGAATTTTTCTACAAAATAAACACCAAAATCTCAGTAGCTGATGACAACAACAACAAAAATCATTTTTTGTTCACATTGCATATTTATCTGGTCAGCTGCAGTTTTGCATGGTTCTGCCTGATTCTGCATATGGCTCTGCCACACATATCTTATTCCCATACCCAGGCTGAGGAGGCAGATACCATGGTGGATACACCTATTCTCACTACAGAGAGAAAGGAAAAAAAAACAAAAACAAAAAAAACCAAACAAACAACTAACCAAACCATGCTATTGCTCTTAATGAGTTTGCTTAGATGGGCATAGTTACATCTCTTCATGGCCAATGCAAGTCATATGGCTAAGCCTAAAATCAATGGGATGGGGATACTGTTTCCACAAGAGGTATACAAGATACATAGCAATGGGCAGGAACGTAGAGGCCTCTTACAGGGAAGAGGAAAAGTGAATAACTGTGAATAATAATAATGCGATCTCCAGAGATGATACTTGCTTATGGTCAATTATTGTTATTAAAGTCCAGATTACGGGCACCTGGGTGGCTCAGTCATTAGGCGTCTGCCTTCCGGCTCAGGTCATGATCCCAGGGTCCTTGGATCGAGCCCCGCATCGGGCTCCCTGCTCCACGGGAAGCCTGCTTCTCCCTCTCCCACTCCCCCTGCTTGTGTTCCTGCTCTCGCTATCTCTTTCTCTGTCAAATAAATAAATAAAATATTTAAAAAAAATAAAGTCCAGATCAGGTGTTATCTCTTCTCAGAAGATTCTTGGACATATTTCCACCGACCCACAACCTCTAAAATGGTCAGATAGCTGCTCTGCACTAAAGTTTTGCACCATACACATGCTGCTCTGTGATTCATTTCTATCCATGTTTCACTTTTCTTCCAAGATTGAGGGACACTGCCATTGTTCAGTAATTGAATCAACACTTGGTGAATGGCTACTTCTGCACTAAGTGTGGGAGGGTAAGGGGAGAGGCATACTCTGCAACAATAAACCTCAGAGTCTAGTAGGAGCATTAAACAAGTACACAGGTACTCCAAATATAACATAAGTGCAATAATAAGGCAGGTGCCTGGCAGTAAATATTGCTCTCATCTGAATTAATCATATTTCCTCTGTGCTGAGCTAATCCAACTTTAGCTTCAAGGAGCAAGAGCCCCTCCTTAAGACTCTTTATAATTTGTGCCTTTCTTGGTGCAAACAATGGTTCCTGCGTATTTTCTGATGCCACAAATAGGTAGGAGAATCAAGACTGAGGTTAGAAGTAGAAGACCAAAATGTAAACTAGTAATACACAGATATAAGGGTCTATCTCAGAAGGTTTAATGTGGATTCAGTGGTAGTGCTGGTACTCACACAGACAAGGGAATGGATGAACATTTTCAGGAATCCCTTAGCAGCAGATATAGCAAAAGGAAACAATGCTTTCTCTCAACAACAATACTAGGAATGTTTTAATAGTGCAAGATAGAATGGCATTTTGCAAACTTACTATTAGCAGCAGATCTTTTTTTAAATTAACAAAATATATAAAATAGAAGATAAATTCTTTCTGCTCTTGTTGAGGCAGAAATGAAGGGCCTAGAATCTGAATCACCGACATGACCCATCATTCCCTGCGGCCGCTAATGAAAACAAGAAACATTTGTTGAGTGTCTCTTAACTACATCTACCTCATTTAATCATCACAACAACCATATGGATGAAATCAGTTATTTCCACTTTAAACTAATGAGGAGAGTGGGGCTTGAAAAGGCCCAGTAACTAGCTCTAGTTCACACACCTAAGAAGTGGTAGAGGTGAAATTGACACATGGCAGCCGGATTTCAGAGTAGGTACCTCCACCCATTGCATGCCTCCAAGGCATAGGCTGAAACTGCCATTTGAGAAGAAAACACAGGAGAGACTTTTAATCTCAGGAAACAAACTGAGGGTTGCTGGAGTGGAAGGGGGTGCGACGGATGGGGTGGCTGGGTGATGGACATTGGGGAGGGTATGTGCTATGGTGAGCGCTGTGAACTATGTAAGACTGATGAATCACATACCTGTACCCCTGAAACAAATAATACACTATATGTTAATAATAAAAAAAATTAAAAAAGAAAACAGGAGAACCAGATGAAATCCTAGAAAACTCCAGTTCTCCCTCCAGCTGTCAATATAACCTTCAAAAAATTATAACCACACCCCAGGCTTTAGTTCTCTCATCTATCAAGAGGAGATTAGATCAAAAGGAAGGTTCTCCACATTTTTCTTTCTGATATACCTGATGAATAGGACACCCTCTCATCAACAGCAGTGTGTCACGATGGCAGTGAATCTTAGAAAAGTCAAGAATACAAAGCTCTAGCAGAATCACATGTTGGGGTGTTGGAAAGTCACATTTGTTACTGTTCTATGGTTTTCGATTCAAGAATCGCTGGGCTAGAATTTTCCTAAGGGCTAACATGATAACTCTGCCCCCCCTTTTTTTTTGAGTGTTTAAAACTTTAGGAAATTATGGGTGACATCAAAGGGAAATTATTTTACTCTTTTTAACATTCCTTTTCCAAATACCAATAACTCGACCAATTATACGATTAGCTTTCAAGGACCCTGGGGAAATATGGTAGAAGTAAAATAAATGTTTTAGAATGTACCAGGTAAAGGGATATCCTAGGCAAGGCTGATGGCCAAAGCCCTCTTATAACCCTTTTCTTAAAGCCAGGTTCAAACACACTATCTCTAGGGATTAGGCAATTTACTAAATAGACATTATATAGGCCTGAAGACTCTAGAGTTAACAAACTGTAAAGTAGCTTGGGTATTATTCTAAGTGTTTATGTAAAAACCATAGGTAGTTGATACTTCCATACCTACTTAATCTTTCCAACTGTGTTAGGAATGGAACAGATGTGCCATTTGTTTTTGTTTTAATCGACTTTTTATTTGTACTAATTTTGGACTTACCGAAAAATGATACAGTTGGTACAGTTATTGTATACTCCTTAGTTTTCCCTAATGTTAACATTCTTCATAACCATGGTATTATTACCAAAACTAATTAGTTATGAAACTAATAAATATTATCAAAACTAATGAATAGTCATCATGGGTCGTAGGCTACTTTTGGTGTGAGAGTTTCTCCAGCTTCCCCAGTTTTTGATGATCTTGACAATTTTGAGGAGTACGTGTCAGGTATTCTGTGGAATGTCCTTCAATTGAGATTTGTATGATGTTTTTTTCTCATGGCTACACTGGGGTTATGGTTTGTTTTAGGGAAAAACTACAGAGGTAAAGTGTCACTCTTATTACATATCAAGGGTATTTACCTTCTATATGATTTATCACTGCTGTTGTTGACCTTGGTCACCAGGCTGAGGTAGCATTTGTCAAGTTTCTCCACTGTAGGTTATTTCTCCGCTTTCCACACTGTATTCACTGGAAAAAAGTCACTATGCACAGCCCACACTTAAGGAATGGGAAATGATGTTCTACTTCCTTAAGGTTGGAGTATCTACATATTCTATTTGGAATTTTTCTGCAATGTACCAGGTTTTTAAACATAAAATGGAATGGAAATGTATAATTTAAAAAGGAATGCACATTTATACTTTCAGCAGAATAAAACTGAATAAGCATTTGAAAAGAAAGCACAGTAGGTTACAGGATTTGGGGAGGAGGCTGAAAATCATGGCAAACAACAGAGATGTGTCGAATCCCTTCCGAACGCATGGTGTCAGGCACTGCGGGAGAAACAATGTGTACAAAAGGATGTCTGTCCTCAAGAGATTTCAATCCATTGCATTTGGGTGAGGAGTAATATTCTCCAGCAAGTACTGACCACTCTCTTAAGTGCACTTCCTTATCACCCCATGCTTCCAACCTTAAACCAGTCATGCTTCATTGTGTGATGAGCTACATATTTGCCTCTCTCTAAAGGTGACATCCTCCCAGGCAGATGCTGTATTATCCCTGATACTCTGCTCATTGTCTAGAGTATCATAGCACTCAAGAAATTATGGGCATATGATGGATGGGTCAATGGATAGCTTAATTAATCTTCTCTCTCTTCTTTGTCCTACAAAATTCACTATTTTCTAATGAGTGATCCATATTTATATTCCTGTTTTCTACCCAAAGAACCTCTCATGCATTTTTTAAGGTTTTTTTTTTAATACTTATAAATTGAATGCAGTTGTAAGAAATAATGCAGAGAGATCCTATATAGCCTTTCCCCGTGTTTCCCTGCAATGATAACATC